GGTTTTTTTTTGTTTGTTTTTTACATGGGACAAGGATAAGGACATTTTCAATTCTGTTGGCATATTTTCCTTATAAACTTCCAACAACAAAAATAAAGACTAATTCCTGTAATATTTAAGAATAAATTAAAATATTTTTCTTGGAACATTCTCCTTTTCTGGCTAACTGATGCATATCCTTAAATGTTTCCCCAGAGATGCCAATTTTTCTGTTGGAACATTCTCCTTTTCTGGCTAACTGATGCATATCCTTAAATGTTTCCCCAGAGATGCCAATTTTTCTGTTCCTACTGAAGTCTATGTTTATCCTTCTCACTGATACTCTAATCTTTAAAGGCATTTACGAGTTTACAATACCAGATTTCATGCTGAAGTGTTTGAGTCCTTGTAAACAATGCAGCTGTCTGGAATGTCTATCTGTGTCTCATTGACTATGCAAAGGCATTTGACTTTGTGGATCACAACAAATTGTGACTCCCAGAGTCCTGATTTGTGCTTATGTGAAACCTATACCTGGACTAGGAAGCAGAGGTCAGAGCAGAGCAGAGCAGGGAAAGGCCACATGGTTCAGGAATAGAAAAGATGTTCATCAGGGATGCATCCTATTCCCATACATTTTCAATCTATATGCTGAACAGATCATTTGGGAGGCTGGACTTTATGAGAAGGAATGTGGCATCAAGTTTGGAGGAAGACTACTTAAAAACCTGTGTTATGCATATGACACAACCTTGCTTAATGAGACAGAAAGATATGAGGCATTTGCTGCAGAAGGTCAAGGACTGTAGTCTTCAATATGGATTGAAGCTCAACATCATGAAAACAAAGATTCTCATCATTGGACTAACTGGCTGCTTCATGATAGACGGAGAAGAGACAGATTGTTAACAGCTTCAGTTTGCTTGGTTCCACAATTAACTCTCTTGGCACCGGCAGTCAGGAAATCAAAAGATGGATGGCATTGGTAAAGTCTGCTGTCAGACTTCTCTAGAGTACTGAAGAGCAACGGTGCCAGTCTAGAGACCAAGATGCGCCTGATCCAGGCCATGGTTTCTCAATTACTTGCTATGCATCAGAGAGCTAGACAATGATTAAGGATGATAGAAGAAGAACCAATACCTTTGAGTAGTGGTGCTGGAAAAGAATGTTGAACATACTGTGGACTGCCAGGAGAATAAACTGGTTTGCTCTGTAGAGGGTGAAACCAAGCTGCTCTCTGTAGGCAAGGATTATGAAGCTCCATCTCATATACTTTGGGCATGTGGCCAGGAGGGACCAGTCCTTGGAGAAGGACATCATGCTTAGAAGGATGGAGGGACAGTGCAGGAGAAGACCCCAGATGAGATGGATTTACTCCATGACTAGAGTAATGGGATTAGGTCTGTCAGAGACAATGAGACTGGCTCAGGATAGGGAAAGATTCAGAGCTATTGTATATAGGGTCGTTATGAGTTGTAAGCGACTTGATGGCACATAGCAGAATAACAACAACAAACAATGAGAGACAGCTGAAAGTTTTTAAGCATAGCATTAAGCTTTTTGAGTAAATGCTAGTATAACCTACCAGGTTAATCTACAAACTATACTGCTGTCCATAGCAATACCACCACCACCAGCAGCTAGTAGAGTCAGATATATTAATCAATCTAGTGACCAAGTGGTAAGGAGATGTATTGCTAGAACAAAGGCAGGTGATTTAGATCCACCAGGTGGTTGGTGGTAGAAAGTTGGATAACCCCTCTTTCGCAATAATCTATGAAACCTACTAGGGCGTCAACTATGAATTGTTTCTGACTCGACGACACATAACAACATCATAAATCTGCAAAGTAGATAATGATAATCCCATTTTATTGATGAGCTCGTGAAAGTCAAACAACTTGCTCAAGTTATACAACTAGGAGGCCATCAGAGAGAATTTGAACCCAGGCCTGTTTGACAATGACTTCTGTTTATTAAAACTACTTTTTCATTATAACAAAATTTAAACACACATAAAGGGTAAGAGAATTGAGTAAATTGTCTATCTTATTACTGATGGATCATGTCTACTACCCAGCTTTTTTTTTTTTTTTGAAGGTTCATCTTACTTTAAAGTAACATTTTCCCTCCTCTCATTCCACCTACCCCTTAGAAAAATATTTATAGTCTGACGCGCAGGCTACTACCCAGCTTTTAACAGCTGTCAATTATATAGCCAATCTTGTTTCATCTATGCCTTTGCATATTATTTTTTATTCCTGAGTAAAAAATCACCACAAACTTGGTATCTTGAAACAATACACTGATTTATTTTACAGTTCACAGCCTTTCTAAGTATTGCTCTCTTGGACTTGCCATGCTAACTCTTTTATGCACCATACAGCTAAACAACATTTGTCAAATCATTCATCAAATTAAGAACATTCCTATTGTTCCTATTTTTTGGCTATTGTGAGTAATACTGCTATAGACATTTACATAAAAGTCTTTGTGTGAACTTAAGTTTCTCTTTTTCTGTGTGGCTATGTAGGGATGGAATTGCTGGGTTACATGACAATTTTATGTTTAACATTTTGGGAAACTGCCAAGCTGTTTTCAGAAGTTGCTGTACCCTTTTGCATTCTCATCCATAGAGGATTAGGGTTCCAGTTTCTCCACATCTTTAAAAACACTTATCATTATTTGTGTTTTATATTATAGCTATGCTAATAGGTAAGAGGCTGAGCTGTATGAAGAGGAATGTGGCATCAGAATTGGAGAAAGATTCATCAATAACCTGCATTATGCAGATAACACAACCCAACTTAATATTTAATCATTGTCCCAAAAAAGGGGCTACATTTTTTAAACTGTAAGTTTTAAGTTTTGCTTACATTTATTTTTCAACTGATAAGTGTATTTGGTTGTTGTTGTTAAGTGCCATCGAGTCGAGTACCTTACGAACAAAAGATCTGAAACCAGTCCTATGCTGCACCATCCTCACACTTCCTGACACACAAGGGCACATTGCAGCAGTCACCGTGTCAAACCACCTGGTTGAAGATCTTCCTCTCATTTGTCAACCCTCCAACCTTCCCAACATCATGTCCTTCTCCAAGGAATAGCACATCCTAGCAATATGTACAAAGAATGTTAGGTGAAGCCTCATCATTCTTGTCTCCAAAGAACACTCTAGCTGCACCTTCTCTAAGACATATTTGTTCATTTTCTTGGCCATCCATGGAATGTTCAGTGCTCTTCTCCAACATCACAGCTCAAAGGCATCAATTATTTTTCTAGGATCTTTATTCATTGTCCAGGTCTCAGATACATAGCTAGTAATTGGAAAGACCATGGCCTGAATCAGACACACCTTGGTCTTCAAACTGACACCACTACTCCTCAATAATATGGAAAGGTCCCTAACCACAGATTTTCCCATTGCAATGCATCTCCTTATTTCCTGACTGCTCGTACCAAAGGTGTTAGTTGTGAATCCAAGCAAAATGATCTGTTAACAGTTTCAATCTCCTCTCCATCCATCATGACACTGCCTATTGAGCCAGTGGTAAGAATATTTGTTTTCTAGATATTGAGACACAATCCATACTGAAGGCTACATTTATTGATCTTCTGCAACAAGTGCTTCAAATCCTCTCTTTCAGCAAGCAAGGTAGTGTCATCTGCATAATACAGGTTATTCATGAGTCTTCCTCCAATCCTGATGCCACACTACTCTACATAGAGTACAAAATTTTCTCAGCCTATAGATTGAGCAGGTATGGAGACAGAATACATCCCTGATGCACTCTCTTTCCAATTCCAAACCATGCAGTGATCTGCTCCTCAGTTTGCACAACAGCGTCCTGGTCCAGGTATAGGTTCCTCATGAGTACAATCAAGTGCTCTGGGATTCCCATTCTTCTAAATGTCAGCCATAACTTGTCATGATCCACACAGTCAAATGCCTTTGCATAGTCAATAAGGCACAAATAGACATTCTTCTGGTATTTCTTACTTTCAGCCAGGATCCATCTGACATCAGCAATGATATCCCTGGTGCCATGGCCTTTTCTAAATCCCACTTGAACTTCTAGCAACTCCTATCTATATACTGTTTCAGCCTTTAAAAAAATGATCTTCAGCAGTATTTTGCTAGCATGTGATATCAATGATATTGTTTGATAATTTCCACATTCAGTTGGATCACCCTTCTTGGGAATAGGAACAAATTTAGACCTCTTCCAATCCGTTGGCCAGATAGCTGTCCTCCAAATTTCCTGGCATAGACTGGTGAGTGCATCCAATGCTGCATCTGTTAATTGAAACAAGTCAATTGGTATCCCATCGATTCCTGGGGACTTATTTTTTGCCAATTCCTTCAATGCAGCTTCCACTTGCTCTTTCATTACCATTGAATTCTGTTCATATGGTACTTCCTGAAATTTTTCAGTGTCAATCAGTTCTTTCTGGTACAGTGACTCTGTGTATTTCCTCCATCTTCTTTTGATGCTTTCTGGGTCATTCAATACATTGCATATAGCATCTTTCAACATTGCGACACGAGGCTTAAATTTGTTTTCCAGTTTTTTCAGCTTGAGAAACGCAGATTGAGTTCTTCCCTTTTTATTGTCTAAGATTACTGTCTAATGCAAGGTCACAAAGATTTATTCTTTTGCTTTATTCTAAGAGTTTTACGTTTTAGCTGTGTGATTATTTTTAAGTTGTGTTTGTGTGTGAGGTAGGTGTCTGCATAATTATGAAGTAAAAAACTACACATCTGTGGTTTTATCCTAAAAATTTACTATTTTTAGCCATTACAGTTAGCCTTCTCTGGTCTCCAGCTACCTTAACTGCAGACACATAGTCTTGAACTATGTGGGACTAGGATAAAAGAAAGAGTGCTTCTCACAGTGGATAGCAAGATTTGTTGGAGCAAGACTTGGGTGGCAAAAAGGGAGACTGGAACAGGACCTTAGTGATGGTGGTGAAGAGACTGTGGATTTGCTGTGGAGAAACTGTGTCAAGATGTAACCTGAGCCTTCTTGCATTTGTGCTGGCCGTAGTTAAAGGTTTAGCTGTTCTTTCTAGATGCTTGAAGTAGAAGCTAACTTATAACTGCTCTGAGGCAAACTGTGCTGGATGATTGAGGAAATTAGAGGCTTCTTGAAGTTGTGTTGCTGAAATGAACCAGGACTTTTACTAAACCTGAACTTATATTGTGAGATATTCTTTGCCTCACCTACTCTCCAACTTACTTACCTAATAAACTCCATTCTCGGTACCACAACTGTGTGAGTCTGTGAGGCAGAAATGAATAAATGAACCTCTTGCTGCTGGTGCAGCTCTAGAGGCACCATGGGGCTGGGCTACAGGCTCTTTGTCTGCTTTCTGCTCTAGGGTGGTGAGAGATGTTCATGGCCCCATGCCCCAATGTACCATTTTTGCTCTTTAGACAATATCATATTGTTCATCTACAGATATTTCAATATATATTTTTAAAATACAAGGACCTTTAAATTTAATACTATTATGCATGGCAGTAATTCCTTAATACAAATATCCAGCAAGTCTTCTAATTGCCTCATAAATGTTAAAAATTTTGTTTGAGTCAGGATCTACTAAGGTTCATACATTATACTTAGTTGGTTAGTAATTAACTAATTATAACTAATATAATTACAAATTATACTTAATATGTCTCTTAAATTTCTTTTTTAGAGAATACATTAAATATTTAACATAGTTTCTTTTTTTATTCTTGACCAAAACTTCCATTTTCATACTGATTTTTAGATATAGAAAAACCTAGATAATAAACTAAAAGTTCTTTATTTTTAAGACTTAAGTTTGTTGACAAAAGGAAATTAATAATCAGAAAACACTGCAATATAACCATAAAACTGGAAATAAATTTTTACTATAAATTGCTAATTTAGGGAGTGTTACACCTCAAGTACACATTGAGACTACTTAGGAATGCAAGAACTTAACTAACTGCCGTTGAATTGACACCAACTCATAACTGACCCTCTAGTCACTTTTCAGAGGCTATAAATCACATGAGAGGTACTGTCTATCTTTCTCTTTTGGATCAGTTGTTAGATTTGAACTGCCAACCTATGAATTGTAAGCACAGCTCATTCATTACTGTGTAGCACTAAGGAATAATGATTTTGTAAAATACTATATAACACAGGAGAGTCTAGAGAGCATGATGCTGAGTGAACCAACTCAGTCTCATAAGGACAAATGCTCCCTAAGACCATTATGTAAAAACAGAAGGATAATTAGTAAGATGTGTATAAATCTTTGGTGAAGGACCTCTTTCAAGGACAGGGATGTCAGTTTAAAGACTAAGGAGCACCTGCTCCAAGTCATGGTATTTTCAATTGTTTCTTATACATCTGGAAGTTAGAAGACTGAATTGATATTTTTGAACTGTGGTATTGGTGAAGAGCAAACAGAAGGATAATTAGTAAGATGTGTATAAATCTTTGGTGAAGGACCTCTTTCAAGGACAGGGATGTCAGTTTAAAGACTAAGGAGCACCTGCTCCAAGTCATGGTATTTTCAATTGTTTCTTATACATCTGGAAGTTAGAAGACTGAATTGATATTTTTGAACTGTGGTATTGGTGAAGAGCAATGAATACACTATCGACTGTCAAAAGGAACAAGTAAATCTTGGAGGAAGTGCAATCAGCGTGCTCCTTAGAAGCAAGGATGATGAAACTTCGTCTCACATACTTTGGGCATGCTGTTAAGGAGGGCCATACCTTGGAAAAAGACATCATGCTTGGAAAGATCAGTGAAAAAGAGGAAGATTCTTGGCAACGATTCTTGGTGACATGGATTGACACAGTGACTAGAACAATGGGCTAACACAGAGATTGTGAGGATGGATGGCTCAGGATAGAGCAAGGAAGGAAGGGGTTGGAGCAGAGGGGTGAGGGTGGGCAGTGGGGAAATCACAGGGTTATACAATTTGATGGATGGAGGGAGGGGATACAGGAAATGGGAAAGATCAAGTAGGGATCTAAAAAGATGGGACAATGGTAGACATAGTTCAGTGGTGATTAATTTTATAAAACTCCATGTATGGGAATGATTGTGTGAAACAATGTGAATGAAGGAAAATATAAAACACAACATATATTAGTTTTGTATGCAAACCAATATAAAATACAAATTTAAAAAACCCTCATCTCCTGCTCCCCCAAAAAATGTTAGTAGAAAGAAGATTTTAGGATAAGGACAAGAGAACAAAGGAGGCTTCTGAGATGTTGAGAATTTCTTGTCATGGGTAGTATCCTTTTAGAAATTGTGTAATTTTTGATATACTTTGTTGTTGTTGTTATGTGCCGTCGAGTCGTTTCCGACTCATAGCGACCCTATGCACAAAAGCCCTAAACCCTGCTCTATCCTGCGCCAACCGCACCGCCTCTGACACACCCATCCCGATTACCCCAGTCACTGAATCAATCCATCTCATAGAGGGTCTTCCCCTCCTGCGCTGTCCACTTATACTTTAGTAAAAACTTTTTGGAAATTGAAGGAACAAAGATGTTTTCTATCAGACATTCATATATTTATCTCAAAATATTTTTTCCTTATATTCCATAATGAGAAAGATCATCAGACTGTGAGGATGCACTTCAAATATGGTTAGAAATAGTGACCTGTAGCCAAAGCTTACCTAATTTATTCTGTTCTTTCTCCTTCACTTGCAGTTCATCAGTCAGCCTTTGGATCTCTTCATGGGCCATGCCTGGCTTTGCTCTTTGTTCTACATTTATCTCTAGGTTGTTCTGTGATATTTTATCTGCTTCTAGATCTTTATTATGGGACTGAAATAAAACTATAATTAGTAACCAAGCAAAAAGTAAGTGTACTAGTATGGCATTGTTCTATTTCCTATACTCAATAAAGGAAGGCAACAACATAGGATATGTCATTTATGTGCATTTCCTTTATTAGGATGAACCATATAAACTTGATGATATTTTATTATTTTTGTTCCATGAACAAGCAATTTCCTACAACACAATATAATACACCTAGTATTACACTAATCTGATAACATAAAAAACTTTAGAAACTAAAATAAAAATAAGTATGATCTGTCAAAAGAGAGATTACCCTTCAATTAAATAGTTCATGAAATATAATTTATATGGTGATTTCACATAAAATATTTCATTTAATTTAAATGTATGCACAGGATTACTTCAAAAGGCTCAAATAATGTTTTAAGTTTATCTTCTGTGACCATTTTAAAAAATAAGAAATTAAGTCTCAATTTTATTTGTTTTGAGTCCCAAAGAATAGAAATTATATGTCAATATGGAAAAAACAACATTGATAACACTGTGATAGGCTCCACTCTGCTAGATATTCTTAATCTAAATCTGACAGAGAATTTAAGAATGGGGGGGGGTAGAAATCACAGGGTAATCTCACTCATAAACATAAATGCAAAAGTACTAAATAAAGCATAAAAGGTACTAATAATTAGAGAGAATAACACAAGAGCAAGTTGGATTTATTAGGTAAACTTAACATTATATTGTTTGATTAATCTGTACTTTTTAATAGATTAAAAGTTATTTCATCCTCTCAAAGACTATAGAGAGAACAATTTCTAACGTTAAATATCTAATTCGTAATGAAAAATGTTAACAATTTTAGGAAGGAGAACTTTTTAAATTTTTTAGCAAACATCATATGTAATGAATTACTGAATGCTTTCTCTCTACTATCATCAATACACAACAAAGATAACTGCTATTCAATATGACACAGAAAGTCAATACAGTCAAACAAGGAAAATAATGAAAAGGAGTAAGTGTTGGAAAGAAAAAGAAAACTTCCATTATTCTTAGATAATATGATTGTGTATACAGAAAATAATTTTTAAAATCTTCAGATATATTACTAAAATAAATGAGGACTTATTA